GCTCGTCTTTCTTCAGTGGTGCTGTCTTTAAGACAAGTCTGAAAATATCCCCTTCCTGCTTATGCGCCATGGATGCCACCCATGGTGGGAAAACAGGAACTGCGGGAATTGCTCAGCGTCCTTGCAATGTAGACCTCCAAAGAGCCTGATCCACGTGGTGCTGAAGCAACTCAAGCCACCCCTTCTTCAAAGGACTGCTCTGCCACAAGCTGTTGGATCTGTGTCCACCTAGCCGGCTTGGTGAACTGTGGAGGTGCTGGTGCGAGCTTTTCAGCAAGTCCTGGACTCCCTTCCCTCCACCCATCCCACCTAGCTATGCTTACCCAGACCTGTTCAGGAGGGAGCATGAAAGGTTGGCCCTGGTGTGCTTGATCTCCATGAGCTTTAGTGAGTTTCCGTCCACTTTCCTGTTCTCTGGCAGAGATGCCACTGGTCCTGCTGGGCCCCCGGCAAGTTGCTTTCCTCCTTCGCAGCCCCCACTGCTGCCCTGGAGGTCCTCATTTTATTTTTCACCAGCGGCGGTGTGCCATGGTGGTGGTGGGTTAGGGTTAGCGTTGCCTGTCCTTTTCTGTGTAGCATTTCCCCAAATCCAGCCACGTGATCTTCCAGCTGCTTTCACGGACCTCCCATGGTGTCATACCTCGCCAAGCTGCTGACTGATGTTCTGAAAGCCCCTTCTATGGTACCTCAAAGCCACACCGAGTCCCCTGTGTATCCGGAGGCTTCCCAAGATGAAGGATGGGGCGGGCTTTGGGGCACTCCTGCTGCCTCCACCCCAGGAATAAGGTTTTATGGGTTCCATTCGCTTCTGTGACTTCGGAGAAGGTTATGGACATCCCTTCCATCATGGAGCACCATAGAAGCGAGCAGGTCCTGTGTGCCCCCCTCCCCCTCAAAACCATTCAGAGGGCTGGTTTGGGCCTTCTAAGTGGTTCTGACATCCATGCAAGGAGAAGAGGCTGAAGACCCTCCTGGTTCTGGTGGAAACCAGTGCAGCTTCACCATGACTCCCCCTGCCCACCCCGCAACACTGCCCTGAAGATGGTCTTCTGCCTTTTTTGGCCTTCACTGCCCCCAAGGCTGGAGGGAGGGGCCTCCAGTGACCAAGTCCCCACTGTGATCTCGGAGGGCTTCCCTTAGATCTCAACAAGTTCTTTGCCCTCTCCTGTGGTGAGCCGGACAGCATCTACAAGCTACAGGATCGGACCATCCATTGCCTTCTTTGATTTTAAGAAAGGACTGGGAGTCCCTTCTTCCTTTTACTGCTGTGTTTTTAGTGAAATGCTTTTATATTGCATGTTTACAATTCCGTATGCCTGCATCGCTTCATTATTGTCAGCTGCCTTGAGGTTATTCTAGGTGGATAGGAAGGAGAGAATGTCAACTCAGTTCATGGAGTGCCATGAGAATCCAGCTGCAAGTCAGGGAAGACCCCCTAAGAATGCATCCCCAATGCCAGCAAACATTTCTAGGGCAATGCCCCAGATGGGCCAAGTAAATAAGCAGGAGATGGGAACAAAGTTTGTAGGGAGGGTCTCTGCGAGGTGCAAAAGGAAAGAAAACTCCATTCACCAGTTGCCCTATTGCAAATCCTTGCTATTCTGACGTTCTCTGGGAAGTCTTGGGGGGAAGAATGGTTGGAAGCGGTCCCTTCCTTACTTGACATTATCTGATCATGCAAATGGCAAATTTCCTGATTCTGACTTAATAGCCAGCTGCAAGTCTTAATGGGGACATGAAAACACGCTCACTGTACTTCTCCTCCTTGGAAGCTGATCACCAGAAAGCTGAGAACTGGACAAGCTCCCAGTAATATGGAGAGGAGTTCATGGTTTGTAAAGAATTATAATGAGGATGGGATGATAAAGGGAGAAGGAAGAGAATGATGGAGCTGCTGTGAGAGGGACAGCCCTATGAAGGGAGACCAGGAAATTTTGGGGGATGCTGGTTGGCTGCCTAGTGGATTGGCAAACCAGCTGCCCACAGGGTCCCGCAAGTCCCCCTCCTGCCCAAGCTCCTCAGCAATGGGCGTACGTAGGCACTTTGCCCCGGGTACCAGACACAGCACATAGCCAGAAAGCCTGGTAGCCCCAGAGAACCTTCCCCTCTGAGAATTCATCTGCTGGTGGTGGATTCTGCCAATCAAGTTGCACCAATAGGGGGCAGCATTTGGACCTGTGAGATTTAGGGCTTTTCAGGAGAAGTCCCAAGCTGAGTGGAGGCACTTGGCTCTGGAAGGAGGTGGGTCGGCAGAAGAAGCCCCCACTAATGTGAGCGCCAGCATCAGCCTCCTTCCAGAAATGAGCATTTGGAAGCGCAGAATTATAGAATAGTAGAGTTGGACGGGGCCAAGGGGGCTTTCCGTCCAACCCCTGCTGTGGCAGGACACCAAGTCACACCCTCCCACTCCGGTGGCTGCCCAGCTGCACCTTAAATGTCCCCAGTGTGGGACCATGGCTCCCTTGGTCATGGGTCCCACTGTCTTACTGCTCCAACAGTCAGGATTTTTCTCCTGATACCTGGAAGGAATCCAGCTCCCTGGAACCTGAGCCCCTCCTTCTGCGTCCTGCACTCTGGAATGGTCAGGAAGAGATCCTGCCCTTCCTCTCTGGGACAGCCTTTCCAGTATTCGAAAAATGCTCTCCTATCTCCCCTCAGCCTTCCCCTCTCCAGGCGCAGCATGTCCAGCTCCGTCAATCTGTCCTCGCAGGGCTTCGTTTTCATTGCCCGGATCATCCATGCTGCCCTCCTCTGCACCCTCCCCAGCTTGTCCGCACCTCTCTTCAAGTGTGGTGCGCAGAAGTGGGCACAGCTTGCTCTGGAAGAGCTAAGCCGCCATAACGATGGAACTTGTGGGGCATCATTACATTGCTCCCCTTCTCTTTCATCATCATCATCTTGTCACATTTATATCCCTTTTTATTTTTTTAAAATGGTATTTAAATATTTTTAAATACCATTTATTTTTAAATGGTATACCTTTTATTTTAATTGTTAGGAATTTTAATCAGGTTTTAACTTCACAGTGGCTTTTTGGTTTTGATTTTTTTATTTTTGATCTTGATTTTGTTTTGATTTTCTTTCATTTGTGAATTGTTATTGGTTTTGTGTGTATATTTAATTATTGCTACTTGTTAAATTATCTGTTTTTGATTTTTATAAGCTGCCCTGAGATGCTTCTGCATGTAGGGCAGGGTATAAATATTTTAAATAAAATAAAAAATAAATAAAATAATATCCTACCCTTTCCTCCAAGGAGCCCAGGGCAGTGAACGTGATTCTCTGCTTTTCAGTTTTACCTTTACACATAGGGATGTGTGAGGGATCCATTTGCGGGGAGCAAATCCGTCAGATTCCCCGAGCTCCCCCAGATCCAACCCGCTTCCTTGCAGCTGGGAGTCTGGCTTCCTGGCGACCACGCAGAGCATGCGCCTGGCACTCGCGGGAACTGAGTCCCACACACGCCTCCGTGCATGCGATTTGCAGGCTCCGCTTGCCCAGCAGGGCTGTGAGCAGTCACAGGCTTCCTCTTGGCTTGCTTTCTAAGGCAGGACTGGGCACACGGGAATCTCCACAATTGAAGGGAGCCGGATTCCAAGGAAGCTTGCCGCAAACCTGCTTGCAATGACCCTGCAGGGCAGATCAGGTGGGGAGTGAGTGGCTGGCCCGAACTCACCCCAGGAGCTGCCTGGCCCTGCTCTTCTGCTCCTCTGACCAGCAAAGTCTGCCACAAACAGTAGGGGAGACATCGAAGAGCAAAACGGTTGTCGAGAAAGCTCCTCCAATTGATCATCCGTCTCATCTTGCAAACGCTGACATCTGAGAAATTATCTACACCTTCCTCCACCACCCATCCTTCTGACAGTGACCCCAATTAATTGTCCTCAGAACTGGAGAGGAGATGTCCCGGGCAGGGGTCTGGCTCACGTCAGCGACAGGTTCGGTGCTTATTTTTAACTTCTCCGAACAACAACTGTGCCTCTGGCTGGAGCCAGCATGCAAGAGTCATCTCTGAGGAGTGCTTTGTTCTGGCAGAGGTGTGAATGGATTCCCCGGGACATTTGTGGTTTCTCTGGACTGATTTAGTGTCTCTGGACAAGCACACCTGTTCCCATCACTCCGAAGTTCATCCACCTGCATGGCCTTGTGAGTCGGGCACAGCTTTTGCCGTGACCTTGGTCCAAAAGGACGAGAGACCCATACATTTCAGACCCATACATGTGCTTGCGGAGGTCTCTTTTGGACAGCTGAGCAGGTGCTGAGCCATAAAGCACAAAAAGAATGTATCGACATGGCAGGATGTGCTCCTCTTTTGAGCCCATAACAAAGGAACTCTAAATAGCTTGAAATGTCAGGTTGAGAACATGATACAGGCCTGCCTTTCACTCCAGGACTTCTCAAGTTACTAGACCATCAGGGTCTATGAATACTCACAAGATGCAGGCTGGATGCAAACCATTCAAATACATTTGGAAAGGGGGAAGCATACAACTCACTAGAACTACGGGGCTTGGGGAATTTTGCATGCAGAAATTATGGGGTCATAATCTGGATTTGGGCAGAGAGTCATTGGAAGAGGAGACCTTGCTCCTCCCAACAGCAAGATCCCATTTTGGAGAAACTCTCAGGAGCTACATGGTGGTTGTGGGTGGGGCTGAAGGCTTTAAGTGTGGAGTCCAAAATCATCACCATCATCATCATCAGCATCTTGAGCCTCATCCAACATATTGTAATTTAAAGCTCAAACTACCAGGAGCCGAGCATTAACAGAGGCATTTTAACTGTTTGGCGGGGGGGCACAAAAGCTGGAAGGCCCCCACTGGTTGGTGGTTGAGGCAAGGGGTGTGGGGCCATGAGAAGAGTCTGTGGCCACGGGGGGATGACTGGGTTTGGCTTTGGCTCTGGGGCTTTGGGGTCCCCACTCCAACACCTGGTTCCACAAACAAAAAGCAAGTGAGCAAAGAAGACCAAAAACTTCCACCGTTGAGAAAAAGGATTGGTTTAATGAGAAGTTCTACAATAAATATGGAGCCATCTAGAAGGAATCGTTTCGTCTGGGCTGATGACACAAAGCGACGCTTCGTCCTGATGCTTTGCCTCTGTCGAGATACCATTCTTACACTAAGGAGTTGCCACGTTGGAGGAGAGACATGGGCGGCCATTCTGGAGCGATGGCGGAAATATGCCACTGGCTGGAACTAGCTGAAAGCAAGCTTTCCTCTTCCATTCTTAGCAGTGTAAAACTGGATGGTAACCCATTGAACAGGACACAACTGGGCAAGTCTGCAGTATAGTCGTGCCCCAGCATCCACCTTGCACTGCTAAGCATCCCTGGTGGGAAAGCGTTGGCCAAAGAGTGGCTTTCAGGAGTTTCAGCCGCTACCTGTAGGAAGAGACACAGAGGGGCTGGAATGGGCAGCACTTTCCTATCAGGCTGCCTGGAAGTGCAACACATGTCTTATTCTCAGAGGCACTGTCTCTTTTCCTATCGCCTCATTTCCCAAAAAGACAAACTGAAACAGCCGTGGAGGTCTTCCTTTCCACAATTCTCTTCTGGGTTTTTCAGCAAAAGCTCTGTTCTGGGGTCTCTGATTTCCAGGGCTGCTCACTTGGGCCTATGGGGTACCCTGGCACCCACTGATCCAGCAAGTCTGAAAGAAACTTGGATTTCTTTGCAAGCTAAGGCGACCAGAGGGAACTACCGAGTCTCTGAAGGTATTTCTGAAGCTAGCAGTCTTTATGCAACATCTCCTGATTTCAGTGCAGCTGAAGGTTGCAAAAGGTTCGTGTACCTTCAGTGTATGTGTCCCTGAAGACAGTTAATAGTGACTACTAGTAGTTAGCTACTATGAAACTACACATAGTAGTAAACTACTATCCTGTTACTACTGGTGGTAGGTAACTTCCAATTTCAAGCTGATTCGGCAGTGTACTGCTGGAACCCCTAAGTCACAACCTTCTGGCTCAGTGGGGTTGTCTTGAGAAGGGGATGAGGAGAAGACGGGAGAGAAGATAGACTTCCAAATGGTTGAGGAAGATGGCGAGAACTCAGATGGCAGCTGAAGTTGGAGTAAGGCAGAGAGTTGGTTGATGCAAAAGGAGTAGGCAGGGCTGTTCCAAGCAGAGGAAGCACCATGGGTATTCAGACAAGAGGAGGCAAGATGGAGGGGAAAATACCCATTCCAGAAACAAACACAATACAATTCAGGGCATTAAATCAGTTATTCCTTTTGGAAACAGCAGATGCATTCCAGCGCCCAGTTCCTTTTGAAACATCCTATAAACAAATTATTAAGAGTTAGAAACAAACTTGCCCTCATTTATTGCTTCAATTCAAAATCACTGAGGGTGGTTTACAATTAAACAAAATTAAAACCATCTCCATGAGCCAAAACTACAAACACAAAATAGAAGGAAGTAAGCAAAGTTTTATTCTACTCAGGAGTGGAGAAAAGATGATTACGGTTGGCGTGTTTCCTGGCCTTGGCTTTCCTTAATGAGATTTGTTTTTTAAAAAGGGGAAGAGGCATGTATCCCTTGTGACTACCAATAAAGTCTGACAAAGTGAACCCTTGAAATTACGGCATCCTTATTTAAAAACCAAATTGGTAATACAATGAAGGAAAGAGCATGATTGCATTCTGTCCGCATCCTCACCTTAACCCAAGCCCGGCTCACAGGACACGTGGTGAGCCACCCCCGAGGAATTCTTTTCAATTCCATTTCTGGTCAGAATTTACCCTGTTCACAACATCCGGACCTGACGTGAATGTGGATGCAATGTGGGAGCAAAGTCCATCTTTTTCCAAGCTTGCCATGTGATGCACAAGCCCAACTGATGAATATAAAAACTCTGCTCAAAAATTTAGATCTGTGTGAATTTTGAAAAATGCTCACAATGCCCTTCGAACAATGGAAGGAGAATGTGTGCACGCTGGAAAACACACATGGAAACAGGCAGATGTGTTCCTCCCCTTGCCTCAAAAGATCTTGCAAGTTGATGCCAACTTGAGTCCTAACAAGCTCCTGGACAGAATTCAGAGGAGCCGATGAGGCTGACTTTTCCTGGGTCACTTCGCTTCCTACTCTTGGCAGAGGTGGGCTTAGATCAGAGAAAGCAGGAGAACTGTGGGGGAACAACCTGGGCCCCGCTCCCCAAGCTGGAAAGATTGGGCTCGGACCAGCCTAGGGATGCGTGAGGAATTCCCTCTCAGGGTGGGAGTCCATGAGAATCTCTCGGCCCGGTTCCCTAGACTCCAGCCCTCTTTGTCTCAGGGATGAGACCGACTGGACACCAAGCCTCCCAAGCTTCCACAGGGCGCCCACCAGGAATGAAGCTCACAAAATGATGCACAACCAGCATCCACTTGTGTGACCCGCGGCCTTTATTTGTGCTGCACAAGCTATGGAAGAAGCTTGCCAGTGGGGCAACCAGATGTTCTGGGATCTTTTGCAGGCTTCCTTCAGCTCGGCTTGCTTCCTACTTTGGGACCGATGAAGAGAGGAGTTCCAAGATCCCGTCAGAACCCTAATCTGGCCTATCACTAGAAAACAGTTCCACATGCTTGCTTTAGCCTGGCCAGTCCAGAGCCCTTCCGACTTCCCCTGGTCAGGCCTGCCTTGCTTCTGGCTTTAGCTGCACCCCGAAACAAGTCGTCAAATGCAGGGGACCCTTTTAACTCTGCAGCCTTGTTCCAAGAGGAGGAAATGTTGTTCTAAGCTCTAGGAAGTGGCTCAGAAAGGACAATGCAAATGCCATCATAAAATGCTCCAATTAATCTCAATAAATCCATCCCCAAGGGGGAAAGGCCAGGAATGACCAAAGTCTGCATAATCTCTGAATGGCTCATAGCAAGACATCAAAGGAGAAGCCATTCTGGGAAAGCTCCTATGTAGAACCTGGAGGCTGACCAACAAGAACGGGCAAGGAGCCAAACGGGCACTTGACCCCCAGGGTAGAAAAACAAAATAAAGTCGTAGCGGATGTGACAAATTGCTCCATATTATGAAGCCTTTGCAACTTTGGCGAGAAGAGGAGGCAACAAAAGAAACTGCTGGTTGGTGTGTGGGCTGAGAGCAAAGTAATAACGGCGAGATGGTTGTGGGATCCTGTTCACAAATCACACAAACACTGCTTGTTTGCAACTGCAAACTGCACAATTCTCTGGACATTTTCACTGTTTTCTGCACTTGCTTTCATTGTTTCATGTGTGCATGTGCTGAAATACACACATCTGAAATTGCAAGCGTTTGGGCAAAGTCCCCAAACATAGATCAGCCACACTTCAGTCATTTTGGGTCAGGAAAACCCCCCAAAATTTAAAAAAAAACAATTAAAAAATTAAAAGCATGCACGTTTTAAAATGCCCATTTTTTCCAATCAGGGAGAATGGTGCCTGCTTGAAATGCACATATTCCAGATCAAAAATATGGGAGTTTTTTCCAGTGCAAAAAAGGGGAAAGATGCTTGCATTCAGTAGCATACTCAAGGTGAAATGAATCTCACAGAGGAATGTGAAGAACTTCAGTGAACTGCAACATTACATTGCAGGAGAAATCGCCTACAAAAGGCAGAAGAAGGGGTGGAGAGCCTTCATTGTGCGGGGCTATGTTCTTTGATTCCATCATGGACAGGGATGGAAACTTTGTTTTTTTATTTTTTAAAAAGCTCCCTAGCGTGGCAATCCTGAAACCTTTGGGACCCTTAAATGCTCTAGAGCCATAAAGGAAGCCCAAAAGTGTTGGAATAAGCTTGGGGAAAATGCTCAGGTTGACCCTTGTGGTGTTCCCTAGCTGCTCCAGATGCCAATTTTTGTTTTAAATGGTGCCACTGGGGAAGTCAGCTTGAAAGGAAAAGGTGGAATGGCCCTGAAACCTTTCAAGAGGGCCATCGCATCCAGCTCCTCGCTCAAGGCAGGACTCCGAGCCAAACCATCCTTCTCAGAAGGCTGTCTGGTTGTGTCTTGAAGGCCTCTAGGGTAGGAGAGCCCAGCATCTCCCCAGGTCCTGGGTCCCATTATCCTGCTGCTCTAGCAGTCATGAAGTTCTTCCTGATGTCCAGCTGGAACCTGCCTTCCTGCAACTTCAGCCCATTATTCCACGTCCCATACTATGGAATGAACAAGATGAGATCCTGACCTTCCTCTCTGGGACAGCCTTCCAAGGACTTGCGGAGCGCTCTCCTATCTCCCCTCAGCCTTCTCCTGTCCAGTTCTTCCCATCCTTCCTCACAGGGCTTTGTTTCCAGTCCCCGGATCATCCTTGCAGCCCTCGTCTGAGCCCCATGCAGCCCTGACCCCTTTCCAGTCCTAGTTCATGGAAGAGAACCATCGATTCCAAGTGCTTTCCTTGAGGACTCTGCTCCGTTTGAAGGCCACCTCCTTCTTCGGGGGTGGCCGGCTGTGTTGTTTTGATCCACCAGGGAGAGCTTTTGCCCCATGGAGCCGATGGGACTGGCAGGCCAAGTTGAGGACATCAGTTGACCACCCTTTCTCTCTTTGAAGGACTGTCCAGCTGGTTCATGTGCAGTTCAAAGATAAACAGCCCTAAAAGCCAGCGCCTTGCAGAGGTCCAGCAACAGCTAGCGACACCTGGCCGCACCCTTCTCGGACCATGACGATATGCAGATTCTATGTTAATGAAACCACTGGTTCCTGCATTTGCATCGATGCATGTAAACGGCCCTCTGCACTTTGCATGCAGATTTGTGCCTCCTTTGCTCCTCTTTTTGGGAAAAGCATTTTCACCTTTTTGATGAAGCATCAGTAGGGCAGTGCCGACCCCAGGAAACCTCGCGCAACGGACCTGAACCTAGAGTTGAGACACACGCACTGGAATCTCTTCCTCCCAGCTTCTCTGGGCTTCCTCTTGAGCTCTGACTGGTCTTCCAAGCAAGTCACGCACAGTGAAAGTCCACAAATATCTGTGGCATGAAGGCTGTACAACTGAGTGTGCTTGGCATGAGAGAGGGTCCCGTGGCAGGTGGACCAGAGTCCAGGAAGCTGAGCCCAAGATGGGTCTCCACCTCTGAACAACCCTACTCAAGCTCACTTTCAGTCCATAAAAGGTCGAGTTGGGAGGGTCTCCATGGACTTCCATCTCTAAAATGGGATGAGGTTGCTGCATTTATTTGAAACAAAACACTAACACTTTGTGCAAAATTATGCATTTTTGCAAATGCTGCTTTTTTAGATGTTTTGTGAAGATTAGCACCAGAAATGTACAATTTGTGTAAACTTGGCCAATCTGTGCAAATTGGTACCCCCCCCCCAAAAAAAGCATGGTGGTTGTCATACAATTTGTGATGAAGCACACAATGACCGTAGGCTTTTTGGGGGCCGATTTGTGAATTCAATCCATGTTGTGCAAATTTCTTTCATGTGCGTGTGTGTGTGTGTGCGCACGCACACAATTCCTAGCCCATCTGAGAGAAAGAAGTCTCCACTCAGATCAAAGCAAGTCAGTGCAGGGCTGGCAAAAAAAGAATCTAGGAAGGTGCATCATTAATTCACTCAGTAATTAAATTCAGTAATTCATGGGTGCAGACAAGGGGTCGCAGGCCAGAAATGTGAACGTTCCACACCTGGGTCAAACAGCCCCCTTGGATCCCTCCAAGGAAGCTCTCTCAGCGTGGAGAAAGGCAACATGTGCGGCGTGACAGCCGTGTGGCGGGCGTGTGACCCCAGTGTCATTTTGCCTATGGACGGTCAAACGCCACGTTGGACTACCTTTCTGTTCTGGTTCTGCACTGCTCCTGTAATCCTGCATTGCTTCCTAGGCTAGCACATGAAAATGTGTGCGTGTGTGTGTGTGCGTCTGTGCACACATGGACATGTGCTTATAGACACATCCCCACACCAACACTGCGGGGGTTTATGCAACTTAGGCTAAGATTTTCTTCTATTTGAGAACTGGCCAGGAAGCACTTTGTGGCGGTCCGAACCCCAGGTAGGAGTTTCAGTCCATCTGCCTGGCTTGATGCACAGGAAGTGGAGGGACGGCAAGATCTCTGGAAGACGCGGTCCCTGCTGCAGACATGAGACGTTCCCTTCACCTACCCTTGTGACCACCATTCTGGGTGTGCTGGTGGGCTTCCAGAGGAAGCCAGCAGCGTGTGGGGGAGCTCTTTTGAAAAACAGCCCACAATTTGCCAGTGGAGTTGACAGCTCTGTACAGCAAGAGATCAGCAGCCTGGGTTAATCTTCCACTCTCATTCCTTTATTCCCTGGGGTTTGGGGAGAGTGATACAACCAGAAAAAAAGCCACTGTCCTGCATGCCTGTAGTCGCTGGATCTCACTAAGCAAACAAGATCAGGAGGCAAGAAGAGATAAACCGTGGCAAAAAAACAGGAAATGTTACAGCAAAGCTTGGATTGTTTTCTTTAATTTATCTCAGACATCCACACATGCTTCCCACTTTTTTGGCTTGCGAAATAGATGGCGAGTTTGGTTCCTAGGTCAAACTTTTCCAAGTGGGGGCGGGGAGGATAAACACAGATATGAAGAAGTCACATTGGTTGGCCATGCTTTGGGGCGATGAATGTGTGTCTCCATGATTGTATTTGTCCAGGAAAAAAGACTGTTCCAAAGCTCAATCATATTCACGCAGCTTCAGTTTGAGCTACCCAAACAAAGGAGATTTTGTACAGTCTCCGAGCTGATAACCCCCCCCCCCCAAATAATACAGCATGTTCCAGTGAGCACATTTTCTGTATTAAGAGCCAAATGGTATTCATGACTTACCTTTCAGTGGGAATTACCCTTCCCCCAGGTAAGCTTATCTAGAATTACAGCCTAAATTATCATTTTTGGATAGGAAGCAAGCAAATTTGCATTGAGGCTCTGTGAAATGAAACCCGTTCATTTTGTAATGGGTCAGCTCATTCTAAGGCCGGGCAGTAAATGTATTGATGGGTTCAAGTTACTAAAACAGCCACACAGAGATGGGGAGCTTACCTGACATTCAGTTTGCCATAATGTGCTTCACAAATGCTGGAAGACAAGGAAAAAACAGCCATTGGTATTCCATAGCTGGGTTCCCAAGAAAGTCACAGAATCATGAAATAGTAGAGTTGGAAGGGGCCAGGATGGCCATGGGATCCAACCGCCTGCTCAGAGCAGGGCTCCCAGTTAAGCCATCCCTCCCAGAGGGCTGCCCAGCTGCACCTTGAAGGCCTCCAGGGTGGGAGAGCCCAGCATCTCCCCAGGTCAAGGGTCCCATGGTCCTACTGCTCTCACAGGCAGGAAGTTCTTCCTGATGTCCAGCTGGAACCTGTCTCCCTGCAACTTGAGCCCACTATTCTGTATCCTGCACTCTGGGATGAGCGAGAAGAGATCCTGGCCTTCCTCTTTGTGACAGCCTTTCAAGGACTCAGAGAGCACTGTCAAATCTCCCTTCAGTCTTCTCTTTGCAAGGCTGAACATGGTCAGCTCTTTCCATCTCCCCTCACGGGGCTTTGTCTCCAGTCCCTGGACCATCCTGGTTGCCCTCCTCTGACCCCTTCCCAGCTTGTCTGCCTCTTTCTTCAAGTGTGGTGCCCAGAACTGGACACAGGACCCCACATGAGTGGGCCGTACATGAGCTTTAAACACCCACCACCCTCTGCTGTGACCCCCACGGTCTGCAATTCATGGGGGAGAGGGGAATTCATGGTGAATCTCAGCATCAATCTGCTACCAAGTTTCAAGAAGAACAAACGTATAGTGCAAACAAGCTAGATAGGGCCCGTTTATGTCCCTGCGTTTGGTTGCCCCTGAAATTCACCAACAAACCAGCCCCTTTTGCTGTTGCTGCTGAATTTGGCAGCCTGGTGGCAGCCGGCCAAACGGGGTTCTGGGCTGGAAAGTGGCATTCAGTTCCCAGGGGTTACTCGTCCCTGATGCAGCTGCTTGGAAGGGGTCAGGTTCGCTTTGGATGTAAACCTAAACAGTCTGGTCTAAATGGGTGTGTGAACTGCTGTCCCAGAATTCTGCATGCCCAGGATACTGCTCTCCAAGGGCTGCTCTGTGCCACGGTGAACCTTGATGTGATATATTGTGTTGCGATCCCACATGGTGTGGTTTGCTACCTTCTGTCCCCTCAGCCTACCAGAGGCTGCTAAGCAAGTGCCTTCTTCTAATTGTCCTCATTCCGCCCTGTCCAGAGATCTTGTTACAGGTTCTCTCCCCAGCAGAAGCAAGATACAACCAGCATGATGCCAGTTTATCAGAACTCCTAAACCCCAAGGGTGTTGAGGGCCACCTCTTCCAGGATACCTTCGTAATTGATGCAGCCATTGGAATCTTCCTGGCCGGCCATGAGCTTATCAACTTCCTCCTCGGTCAGTCTTTCTCCTAGAGAAGGCAAAAAGCATACGATAAGCACGGATGGCCAAATCTGCCAAGCTCAGCTTCAGAGAGATGCTCATTTTCCCACTGCCAAGTATGTTCCAGCTCAGCTGCACTCCAAATCACGAGCGTCTCTTTCTTTTCCAGAACACAAATGCATACGTACTTCCACAAACATTTTTAGAAATGTGTGCATTCTTTCTGTACATGTCTTAAATGCAGGCATTCTTCCCACAGGGAAAAGTGTTAGTCTCTCTGTGTGTTTTAAATTACTTATTAAAGTGCATGCATCTGGGGTATGTATTTTATGAGCCTGGGAAATGTATGGATGTCATTAGCAAGACCGTTTGCAGTCTCAGGAGGTGCAAGATGGAGATTTTCACATACAATACAAACCCAACAGATTTCTAACCCATTCCAAAAGATGGTTTCAATTCTCATGCTTTGGAACCCAAAATTGAGTTATGATAGCCAGAATAACAAAATCTGGGTTGATCACATCCTGATTATGTAATCGAGTGTCGTTGCATCTGAATGCCCACGCTGCCCTTCCTTAGACGAGGCTCAAGGTCAGCTTCCAAGCAATCTTCCCTGGCATTCAGGTTCCTCCAAGGAGCAGTGAGCAAAACCAATCAAAGGAGGAAGAAACACACATAGATCCGGTTCTGGGAACTCTCCTTTTTCCACTGCACTTGCAGAATCCTCTCCCCTTGTTATTTTGTTTATCATTTTCAAAGGAAACCAGAAACAAACCTCCATAAGGAGAGGCTCAGAAATGTATACATTTAGGTTGTTATACTGAAGAAGGCAAATTTAAAGCCTAGTTAAACACTTGTGCTGGCAAATAATATTATTGCAGCATGCATCTGGATGCTTTTTCATTTAAACCCTTTTTCGTTTGAGTAGGAATCTTCTCTGCTTCTCCTCTCTGCACACACAAACTTTTGGAGTTCCATCAGAGCCCAAGCACACTGCTAAGGAGACATCGCTTTTCCATTTTACATTGAATTAAAAACATGATCTCAATTTTCTTTTTGGAGAGGGTTTTGCCCACTTCTAATTAAGGACAAGGATACTTAAGGACCATGATTAGCATTGCAATGGAGGAGTTTCTTGGTTCACGTTCCGTGCCAACTGAGTTGATACAATCTCTAATTTTGTGCTATGATAGAGTTTGGATCATCAAAACAAAACATACAGGCAGTATAAATCCACTGTCTAAGCAGCATTTTTTTTCTTTTGGGAAGGGGGAAGGGAGAGCTCTCTCGTTGGCCGACATAGTAGAAAAAGTGTTGGCTCAAAGGCCTCCTGGCTGATATGTGGCCTTCTCCTTAATAGTGCTTACCAAGAGTTGCCAAAACATGGCGGAGTTCAGCTCCCATGACAGTGCCATTTCCTTCCTTGTCGAAAACCCGGAGACCTTCCACAAAATCCTCAAATGTGCCCGTGTCTTTAGTCTTGGAAACATGTTGGAGCATAGGAAGGAAGGTGTCAAAGTCCAGCATCTTGGAGTTCATTTCTGTCCATGGACAAGTGGAAAGTAAATGGGTTTGACACACACATAGAAACATAGAAACAGAGCGAGTCAGAAGGGGTCTCCCAGGCCATCTAGTCTGACCCCCGGCTCCATCCAGCTCCACTCATGACATGCCTACCATGTGCATGTCTAGCCTATCCTTGAACACCCTCCCCGATGGGGCTTCAACCACCTCCCGGGGAAGCCCATTCCATACCCTCGGGGTCCTAACTGTCAGGAGGTACTTCCTGCTATCCACCCTAAATCTTGGTTCCCTGATGTCGCTTCATTGGAACACATCTTGTCCTCCTCCTCAGTGGAAAACAGGTCTCTACCCAGCTTTGTGTGACACCGTGTCTTGCGCCTATATCTCACCAACAGATCCCCTGGGAGTCTCTTCCTCTCAAGGGTGAAGAGACCCAGCTCCCTCAGTCTCTCCTCATATAGCTTCCCCTGCAATCCAGCCACCATCCTAGTGGCCCTTCACTGCACTGATTCCAACCTTGCTATATCCCTCTTGTACTTAGGGGCCCAGAGCTGAACATAAGACTCCAGCTGCAGGCACACCAGAGTTGTGTAGAGTGGTAGTAATACTTCTCTTGATCTAGAAGCCATGCTTCTGGCTATGCAGCCAAGGTTGGTGTTCGCCCTCTTGACCACCGCATCACACGGCTGGCTCATGTTCAGCCTGCAGTCGACCAGCACCCCGAGGTCCCTTTCGCAAGTGCTGCTCTCCAGCCACTCGTCCCGTAACCTGTACCCATGACCCCCATTCCTACGCCCCAGGTGCGAGGCCTTGCACTTCTCCACACTGAACGCCATCCTGTTGTCAACATCGTCTTCCTCCACAAGGGAGGTTCGGGGCCATGGCCAGAGCTATCTTCTACTCCTGTCAATTTTGGAATGGACTGGTGGCCTTCTTGGGGTCCTGATCCCAGCTTTAGAAGGCAAGTGGAAGCCCTGCATGGCCTATCTCTTGTTGGGTTGTACCATTTCGGTCTGAAGACAAGAGGTTGGACATTGAAAAACACCTTCGTATATAAGACATCTTGAATCACACAAAACAGCCATCCTGGGAACAAGCCGGTGCAAGCAGATTTCCCTTGGAATGCCCATGCTGAATGTAGGCGTCTGCTGGAGATCACAGCTTGGAAGCCCCAAAGGTCAACTGAAACGGCACAGCCCAGCAACAGAGGCATAGCCAGAGCCTGCTAGCTCTTAGTCCTCCTTTAGCGGAAAGAAGCAAAGCTGAAGGGAATATCACATGGGCTCTGGCAGGTTGACCAACTTGGTTTTCGCCAAGCCGAGGGCTGCCCCCCGGTTATACATAGGTGGCTTAGCAGGGGGAAGAACATCTGTCTTCTCCTCTTCTCGAAGCTACTGTATATACTTTAATTGTTTATTAATTGTTATTGTTTGAATGTATTTTGTATTTTATTTGATGTTGTAAGCCACCCCGAGGCCTCGGCAAGGGGCGGCATAGAAATGTTTTAATAAATAAATAAATAAATAAATAAATAAATAAATAAATAACAAAACAGGCTTGACAAACCACCATGTGGGGCTGATGGATTTTCATTGGCTTGGTGGGTCACACAGGGATGGATGCCTGAACGACTTCCTATGTTCTTTGCTTGTGAGCATGCTACAAATTAAGACGGTTGTGTATAGCTTCACAGATTATCAGGGCTAAGAGGTATTAAGCCTCAAATTCCAAACCCTCTGTCCAGAACTATCCGTGGGTTTTGCCTGGCCACATTGCAAATCTTACACAGGAATCCCTCCACCCTTGAGATTTTGGTAGGGTTTGGCTTCTGCCTTTTCTTGAAAAGGGCATGACTTCGTAATTCAGAAGTTCGTATTTGCGATTCAGCAGGAAAAGATCTTTTCCCATTTGTGCCAAGAGGAGACAAGGTGTGGGAGCAAAGAGTATGCATAGGCTTGAGGTGGTTAAACATGGCACAACTGGCATTAATACAGACCCGAGATTTAGCGCAGCAAAGCCCAAAGTCTGGCTGATACCAGAATCCCAGCCAATGTGCAAGGCTAACAAAGAAGAGAGAGAGAGAGAGTGACCTGGGGCCCATAACAATCATTTGGGCCCAGCCTACAACCTGGATCTGGGGCAAGCACGGCAGTCCCAGGTAGGGCCTTGGCACATCACTCCATTTAATCAAATTAAATTCAATTGTTTTTTATGCTTGATCTACTGTCTTTCTTTCTTTCTTTCTTTCTTTCTTTCTTTCTTTCTTTCTTTCTTTTTTTGTCACCTGCCTCAAATTTTCTGGAAGGATGGAATATAAATATTTTACGTGAAATAAAGCACTTCCTTTTGGAGATGAAGAGTGTACATCATAACTTAATCCCAATTTTTTAAAAAATCTAATCTGAGGTAAACCAGAATGGTATGATAGAGATTCCTTATTCTCATTTAATTTGGGGAGGGCACAGTCCTCTCCAAATTAAGCATTTTTAAGACCTACTTGGTTTTATTGAAGAAATGTATTCAATTTTCTACATCAATGTGTGAGATCTGAGCTCAGTTTGGCTTTACTGTGTCTCTTAGTACTATCAAAACATGTAAATTAACCACTCAATGTATATCTTTTTATATGGAAGTTTTAACCATGAACTGATAGGTGTTCATCTTATAAAAAAATTAAATGTGAAACAACAATTGGGAGCTTTTTGGGAGCTCTTTTATATTTTATATTTTTATTTATTTTATATTGTTAATTTTAATTTTATATTGCTATTTTTGTATTTTATTGTATTTTATTGTGTTTGTAAGCCGCCCCGAGGCTTCGACAAGGGGCGGCATAGAAATGTTCTAATAATAATAATAATAATAATAATAATAATAATAATATTGCACAAAACAGCCACGAAGGTTCTGAGTTACTGGTAGAAGAACCACAGATGCTGGGCAACGTTCTTGCAGTGGAAGAAGATGGCAGAGGCTCACCCACCATGGAGGCCACAATAGCTAGGAAGTACCTGAGAAGCAAACCCTGTGAAGCAACCACCAGGAAACAAGAAGGAAAGGTTCTAACCATCTGGTTTGGGTCGTCCAAGGACCTTGAGAACTTCTGCCTGGGTGGGGTTCTGTCCGCAGGCCCTCAAAACGTCACCACACTGGGCATATGTGATTTTCAATTCCCCCTGCGGAGTTCTGTCGAAGAGCTCGAAGACTTCCCTAAATTCTGGGGTGAACACAAAGAAGATCATTAGGAAAAGTGCTCTTTCTGGGAGGTCAGCATTGCTGCCAAGAATTAACTGAGTAACGTGAGAAATTCATGAGTGGGTAGGGAGACTGACACTTGCTTCTTGCCCTGAAGAGTTTACTTTCTAAAATTTGGGCACAAGGTGGGAAAATGTCTCTAGGGGAGCGGAAGAACCAGGAGGGTCAAACTGCAATGAGGAACGGATGCAAGTTAACAAGCAGCACGAACTGATAGAGATGCGAAATATCATCCCAAGCCTTGGGCACAGACAGTTGCTAGTTGGCTTTAAACGGCTCCCAAATAGTCCCGACTGACTCTCATTTTTTGCTTTGGTTTTCAAATGAGGAAAGTTTGATGAACTCCTGTTGTTCGTTCTGCTATCGCTTATGTTTGCATTCCACTGACTTCAGATTTCCTGGAGGAACAACCCGACGGGAAAGGCCAGGCCAAGGGGTCCTTGGTATAAGGTTTATAACCCAGGAATAATTGGGAATTACTGGAAGACCTATCCCTTTGTTATCCTTAGGGGCATCCTGGTCCAAATGATATACATATTTGTTTCTTGGCTTCTTACATCCCACATGACTTCCCAGAAATGTCCTAATTACACTGTGAGAACATTCAGAAGCACTTCGAGGGCTTTACCTTCGGCCGAGTTGTACTGAGATGTACGCGCTGGCACTGGGCTGCACCTCTTCGGACGCAAATAGCACGCATGAATTTTGCCCTTTTATATATACTTGCTTGCTTGCATATTTACTACTACTGCTGCAAGAAGCTGGGTGCAGGCAATATCCTTTTGTAGTATTTCAGAGTGCTCAGGCTACCGGGTCGTGATGCACTTTGTTCTGCTTCAAACTGAGGAACATACGGGCTTTGCTAGAACAGATAAATTCCTCGAGTCTCTCTTCTTATTGTGCATATGGGCATGATTGGGGCAAAAACAGAGTCACGGAGAAAAGAGAATGCCAGAAGGGCGTCCTTCTTGAAATACAATGTCTGACACCCTGAGAAACACTCTCTTGTGTGATGCGGGGGCAGGAGGAGCCAGAGGGGCAACCACTCTTCCAAACAGCCCTAGAGGGGCAGATCACACTAAGGAGGCACAGGGTGAAAATACCATGCAATGTTTTATTTATTTATTAAAACCTTTTTATGCCGCCCCATTCGCCGAAGCCTCGGGGTGGCTCACAACAATAAATTTGCTACAAGAAATCATCACACTCAACAATAAACAACCATACATACTTGGCGTGTGTTTCTCAGGAATAAAGGGACTATCTCCCCACGTCCCAACTACACATTTGGTAACCTACATCTCCGTGCAGAAGAAAATTAATTTTAAATTGCAACTGGGAAGAGTTTCACTTTGCGTGGCGGTAGGGATGCCGAAGCAGCCGGCAGACTTTCTTTCTAAAAGATGCTGCGGCTGGTGCACAAAGGCAGAGGCAAGGGGAAGCGGAGCTGTACAAAAGCGGTTGATTGTTTTGTGTCCTTCGGCTCTGAAAAACATGTGGCCCTCATGTGCTTTGCAAAAACAGTGTGCTGACCACATGCTTTCTGGTTCATGCCCCACAGTGCTTTGTGCAAGTTGAGTAAATTTTGCAAATTGCATGAATAGTGCAATCCGAGAAATTTCCTTAGCATTTTTTTAAAAAATGCCAGCCAGCACAAATGGTCAGGAATGGACGGAGCTGTGGGCTGACAACTTCTGAAAGGCCAGAGGACTGCGATTCCTGCGTAAAGGGAAAGCTGTCATGACCATTTTCGCTTGGATGAAGACGGCAGTTCTGTTTAAGGATGCTATCAAGCCACCGTTCCTTTGCAAGGCTTCCTGGGAAAAGAAAGCGCCCGCTTATGTTCAGGAACTGAAGAACGGAGTGCAAGATCTCTGTGGACATAGCACATGTTTCTGCCACCAGGGAACATGTGTTGGTGACCGTGCATGTGTTTTGCATGCAGGGGGTACTGGGTTCCACCCCTGGCATCTCCAGGGAGGGGCCCCAGTAAGCAACCCAGCTATCCAGCAAAGCCACTGCCAATCGGTGCCAGCAATGCTAAGCTAGATGGACCAAGGGTGTTGCTCAATACAAGGCTGCTTCCGATGCTCATAAGGGTGCAGTCCCTTGCATGTTTAGGCAGGAAAATGTCCAGCAGCTCCCAGCATCCTCCAATCCACCACACTAGCCAAAGAACGCTCCAAGTTGCAATACTTTTCTTTATCTAAAGATGCATAGGATTGGGCATTGAGATATCATAATTTGGGCTGGCCTTTAACATGGATCAGGGAAGGGAGGTCCCCTTTCCAGTGACTTTTCAACTTTTTAAGTTCACCTGGCTTGCTCTTACTCTTTACAGACTTCACCAGTGAGATCACCACACAGGAAAACTGATTGGCTTCACTGTATTAATCCTGTCCGATATGTGATCCCTGATTGGCTTCACTGTATTAATCCTGTCCGATATGTGATCCCTGATTGGCTTCACTGTATTAATCCTGTCTGATATGTGATCCCTCATTGGCTGGGACCTCCCGCATGCCTCATCCAAGACTCTGAAAGGACCAGCCACAACAGGAGGTTTGATGCTCAAGCAATTACAGCCTCCACCAGCAGCAGAAATGAAGGGCCTGCCCCAAACAGAATTCGCTTCACTAATTATAACTTATACTCTTTTCGGCACCAGGTAAAAACCTTTTCATTTAAGCATTATTTTAAAAGTTAATTAGTTTTAATGATTCCAGTCGCTTTTGCTTTCTCTATTTTGATTTAATTTGACTATTTGATGTTTGTTTATTCTTTTATACAGTATCACTGTTTTAATCTGTGGATAGTGTAACTAGATGTTTTTAAATTACTGTAAGCCATCCTGAGATATTTATATAAAGGATGGCATACAAAAGCTTTTAATAAATAATAAATAAATAATAATTCAGGAGAATATTTCCAGAAAGTAAGCTATTTGCTTTTACCCCGAATCTGAAATGACGAACTCTTTGGTGCAGTCTTGCTCGCCACACTAGCAAACCAAGATGTCCCTGCACAGCTTCCTTCCATCGTCTGAGAAGCATCCCAAACTTAAGGCCTGTTATTTTGCCATGGAACGGGACTATGGAGGATGCAGCGTCTTCCACTCAACAGCAGCAAACCAAAAGATGGGCATTTCCCCCTGCTAGCTTGCCCTTCTGCTTCCTGCCGGCCTCCCATTGCCGAAAAGGCCCTTGTCCACAGGATCTGTGGTGTCACTGGGTTCCTACAGAAACCAAAGGCCTTGTCCGTCCTGGCACAGGTTCTGGGCTGAGGCTGCAGCAAAGCTTGGAAGCAGAACAGGCTGTGCAGGAGTCCAGAAGCAATTCCAGCTGCTGAAATTCCACAGAAGCCTCAAAGCAATGATAAGATGATTCTGTGCAGGACACGTGCCTACCATGGAGTGCCAGGCCATGGATTAGGGACGGGCAGCTCTGTCAGTTTTTGCTTCTCCTGCATTCTACTTTTTAAAAAAGATCTCAAACTCCTGGATGCAGAAGACTCCTCCGAATTTGGCCAATTTTCATATTTTGAAAAAGAATCTAACTGCTTGCCAGTATGCAGCAGCCAAACCAATTTTCCCAGCATGGTGGGGACCGTAACGCATCGGCCTGAGGCGTAGCTGCTGAAACCAAAGGGCTGTCAGGAAAATAAGGGGTGGCAACTCTAATTCAGAGGTGTGGTTGAATTCAAGTCAGATTTGGAAAACCAGCCTAACCTACCTCGCAGGGTTGTTGTGGTGAGGATAAAGTGGAGTACAGGAGAAGGAAGTCAGCTGCCCGGTGATATAAAGCACCATCAGCACTCAGACCCCAGGTATTGCCAATTTGGGCTTCTCCCATATTCACATTTATCCAATCACACCTTTTTTCCTGACTGTGGACATCTTTGCAAATATTGGGAAAGTCTCATCGGAGCTGAACTGGACTGGGAGCTCAGGGTTGGCACGGCATGAAGGACGGAGAGAATCACGCTCAACGCGTTGCTTTTTGAAGATTTACCAGCTGTTCCAATGTTCTTTATTAAGTTAATGGGGGGAAATGAAATTTTAGAAAATCAAAGGTGAGAGAAATGGAAATGGGCCAATTCATCTATCCAGCTGCAGAACTTTGGATTACGATCCATGCACTTTTATTTTATTTTATTTTATTTTATTTTACCACCATTTTAATAATTAATATCAATAATTTTAATAGCCATAATAATGTTATACAGCCACATGTTCTCTTTCTCCTTTCTTTTTTCTTTTCTTTTTACTTTAGTTATGAACAGTTGTTTATGTTGTGTGTTTTAATTGCATTTTATATTACAAGGCTTGTTGCAAAGGACGGCATAGAAAAGTTTAAATTAAATTAAATTTTGTTTCATGGATTGTCCAGCAATTCTTTTTGTTCTGTCCTCTCTTCATTGCTGATGCCAGATTTTATTTTACAAGAGCTTCGTTCTACTTCTGCAAATCCATAGCAGTACCAATGCACTTTAGCACAAATGCATTAATGCATATTGGTACCAAATCGGTGCAAACCCACAACTGAATAACCAGGCCACAAATCCATGATATCTACCTGACCAGGAAAGGTGGATCCCCTGTGGTCGGATTTGTTAAACTCTGAAATCATTTGACTCGGTTGCAGATCTTTGCAATCTCCCTCATTTCACGTCATTAGCTCTTAAATTTCTGGATTTGTGTCTGTGTTTGTGATACCACATGGGGGTGATCACCTCCTTTTCCCCTGATAGATGCCTCTTCTTTGGCAGCTGCATGTCAGGAAGGGAAACATGGCAGAGAATAATACACCTATTGAAATTGGCTAGTTCAGTGGGGTGAGAATGTCATTTCTCCTGTTGTTTGATTGCTTCCTAAACAGGTTGGGAAAAGCTTCAGACCCAAGTCAAAGCAACAGGCAGATCCCTTTGTCCGGCTTCTGGTGGCAGGGCCACATCCTTCACAGCACCGGAAGTGGACAGACTAATCTGTGGGGTGCACAGCGCATGGGTCTCTCCTCCAACCTCTTGCCGTCTCCTCCCAGCTTCTCTCCGTGCTTCCTGGCCGGGCCTTCCCTGCTTAGCCCTAGCTTAGAATGAGCCAGACAGTTTTGCCTTCCGCTGCTTTCACTATTTATTTTCCCATCTCATGCGCTTTCTCTCGCAAATGGGGAAGGCATTGCTCCAGCAAGCAGCAAGCAGATCAGTGTCTGCCTTTGAGACGGACGGAAAGCTTGCCAGAGACGGGTCTCTGCCACAAATCTGCTATAACATGAACTGAGCAGGAGGACTTTGCAGTTCCAGACATTTTTAATGTAAAGAAGAACATATGGAAAGAAACCATTTCTTATTCTGGCAGTCGGATTTTGGGGAGAGAAACCGTGCCGAGCAGGGGTGCACTGACAATTCTCAAACGTAGCAAATACGCACAAGGTTGCGAAGACACGTTTGGCCCCTTGGATTTGTGACCCAAGTTTGAATAGCATCCTCCTTGCAGGAAAACGATATCACAGCAGATTCTGGTATCCGTTTTAGGTTTTTCTCCTGCATCTCCACATGGATTTAAAAAGGCACATTTGGTTTAACCCCTTCTGCTTAGCCTCTTATATCTCAGCCTACAGGGCATGGAGTGGGGCGTCCAATGGTCCTCAGGCGACTTAAGTGCAGCCCTTGCCCCATAGAAGCTGGAAAGTGGGGCTGGTGCAGAAGCTGTGCTACTCAAGGCCCTTGAAAGGTGGTGTGTCGGTGGACCCACCCGCAACGAGGACAGCTTTGTGGGTGCTTTGACGGAAGGTTTTGTGCCAGGCGCACAGGCAGTTGTGATTCTCACCATGCCACAGAAGGCAAACTGGACGGAGCAAAAGGAAATAACCAGCCCAAGAACCTAAGAACAAGCCCCAGATGGAGTCTGAACCCAAATAAACACGGGGCTGGAGGGCAGCCATCCAGTGCTTTGCCGCCTGCCCAAAAAGATTAAAAAATGCTTCAAAGCCATAAGGAATAAAATTAAAATCACGAAGGATGGGGGCACGTGGTAGCCACCAGGAGAGATGCTTTAAGGTGTTCCTCTGTTTTGGCACAGTTTCTCTACCCCCAGTCTGAAAGCTAAAATGTCTCTCTTGGGTCTTAATTACTGGCAGTAAGATATTCAAGCTTAAAATCTGCTGGGAATGGCATTAGTTGGCTCGCCCCCCCCCCCACCCTCTGCAGGTTGACCCTCGGGAGCATCTTTGAAATTAAATTTGGCCCCTGGACGGACCGAGGCTGCACACCCCTGCTGCAGAGCACGAGAGCAAAAGAGATGTTTTCACCACCCTGTCCTTCCTAGAAATATGAGGGCCCGGGAAAAAAATGCAAACAACATTTTTCCCAAGGAAAACATGATTTGGCCTTGGAAGAAAAATGGGAACACATCCTGAATTTTTCACATTTTCCCTCTTAATTTTCCTCCCCAGAGTTTTCGTATCTCTAGGCCCTCCTTAGTATTTCCTTCCGTTTGTGTGTTGTCCTTGTCTCCTTTAGAATGAAAACATCTGTACAGCATTTGGTACAATATGAAGCTTTGGGATGGGGGCGGGAGAGAGAGAGAGAATGAGAGAGCCCTTACCTTCAATCTGGTCATGATTGAATTCAAGCTGAAAGAAAATAAAAGCAATTATTCCCCATTCCCCATGGAAGCCAATCAAAGAAAAACAGGCTTGGAGTCCCATAGAATGAATGAGATCTGTCCATGTCAAATGGCCTATTTGCTTCCTATCTGAGTGGTCCTTGGTTAGCTGAGATGGTTGAGTGGTCAACTGCAGGCCCTGAAAATCAAGCGGCCCATGTGCCACAACTTTTGGACACCCTAAAACTGGTGGTTCTGGATAGTCTGGATTCCCGTCCTACCCAAATTCCTCTGCCACACATGAGAACATTCCTGAGTCATGGAGCGCCCACATTCTGGTTACCAGCGATGGGTGGAGCAAAGATGGGGAATTTCCAGTGCACACCTTCGGAATTCCCTGCCTTTGGAAGAAATTGGCCCAGTTGGACTATATTAAAAATCCGTCTGCTTCACACTCGGCTTTGTTTTAAGTCTTGTGGGTTTAGGATGGTTTGGAGCTGGAAATTCTGCTCTTAATTGTATTTTTAGCTTTTGGTTTCAAGTCTAAATGCACTTGTGGTTTATTTCTGTGAGCTGTTTTGTTAGGTTTACCCTGAAAGGTGGAGTATTGATTTAAAGAAAGACAGCAATGAGCCGAACAAACAGTAGCAGGTTTCGTGTTCCAGAAATACAAGTGGTTCTCAAATTCTTTTTCCTGGATGAATGCCAGCAATAACACGAAGAAAACTGAATAGGATCCTGGTGTTCCCAAAAGCCCCTTTCCATATAACACACTTTTGGGAGTCTAATGAGCATGTGGTTGAATGTCTTGTGCTTTTGAGCACTAAACTAACTCGACGCAGAGCTTTTGTCTGTAAGTTGATCGCCTCCATCTCTTTATTGAGAACATACCTTGTCCCTCTTCCACAGCCTGGGCGAATTAGTCTGAAGCATCGGCAAAGGAGCGTTACAACATTTTTGGAGAAATGAGATGAGTTTCTGGCAAGCTCCACTAACAGAAATGTAAAACATTTTACAGACTGGCTGTTCCCCTGCTAATGGACTTCAGAAACATTATCTCAGAGTCTCCGACTGCAGCATTAACAAGCTGCTATGTTTGACCCCTTTGGGTTTTCTCTGGGGTTAGCAAGTGACTTAGGAGGAGGAGGAGGAGGAGGAGGAGGAGGAGGAGGCGGCCTCGGTGGTTGTTCTAGCTTCTTCGCCAGTTGCCAAGGCATGTTATGGGCCATCCTGCCATTTTGCACAAGCCTTGAGCCAGGGGTGGGCAACGTGACCCCTGGAATCACACGCGACCTTCAGCCGTCGGGGCAATTTTGAAAGCCCCGTGCAATTGACCACTGCAGGTCCCTGGTAGACGGTCTGTCCCTTACCTGCATGCAGCCCACGGGGCAGCGAGAAAGAGCAAGGGGCACGGGGGTCAGAAAGCAAGCCCCCAAGCAAGCCCTGGCAGAAGCCCTCTCCCACCCAGTTGGCCCTTGAGGAGCTGCCGGTCTGTGAAATGGGCTTTCATCCCCAGATGACGCAGAGCACGCACAGGGGGGAACGGAAGGCGAGCATCGAGGGCGCGATCCCCGAAGCCCGTTTCAGTTTGTTCTGCAAAGCGAAACAGGGACGGCGATGTATCGGGGGCCGATTCCAGGAAATGCTATGGGGAAGCGTTTTAACAAATGTGACCCCCCCACCCCCAGTGCAGTGTGAAGTGGTCCATTCTACAATCTCAGGGTTGTATCACCTGGGAGCCCCAAACCAGGGGAGTCCAGGGTCGTGCCCCCTGGAGGGGAGCGGGTCCAATCCCCGCAATGATGGCAGCAAACGGAAGGCCGACGTGCAGCATGGGTTGCCGCGCAGACTGGGCTCGGGAGGCCCGGGCCCTGGTCCCCGCTTGGCTGTGGAGGTCCTCAGGTGACCTTGGGCCAGGCACGGGCTCTCTAACTTACTTCACTGGGTTCTTGTGAGGACAAAATGGAAATTCAGAGGCCCACGTAAGCTGCGTTGGGTTCTTCAGGGGAGGAAAAAGCGGGATATAAACATAACGTGATTGCAGTAACACTTTCAACAAAAAAGTCCTAAAAGTTTCAAACAGGGCTTCTGAGAGGCTTATCCACAAGCTCTGCTTACTAATTTTTTTGTTTTAATCAACCCATTCCTTGGGGCCAATTCTTTTAAAGAAATGATGTATAACATGAAGACCACTGGGGTTTTGCTAGGATCCATCCATGCCTGCGTGCTAAAACCAAGCTCCTGAGCAAGGACGTCAGGGAGCGCGCACCTCATTCCTGGGCACGTGTGAAATGAGAGCCACGTGACCTCTGGATCGTTCCATCCACAAAGATATCAGGGGAAGAGCCTCCAGTGAGGAGGGGAAAGAGAGCGGGACACCGAGAGTGGGAGAGGGCCTGCAGATGGAGTGAATAATGCATTATAAACACCCAGATGGAGAGAGGGATAAAATTAAACACCCAGATGGAACAATGCCCAGGATTTGTCACCTAAGAAGATCTGTCTTGTTGGCCTGTCCTAGAACTGGTTTATATTCTGTGCTTGAAGGAGAGAGAGAGAGAGAGAGAGAGCGAGCTGTGTTATAGTCCCCTAAATTCGTCCTGCACCAAAAATCTTGGGGATGCAACCGGAAGTTGATCTTCTCTTCAGCACATCCATGACTGGCTTTTAATGAGTGCTGGTCCTTTGGTCCCGATACAGTTTGGAGGGGAAGCCAGAGAGAACGGAGTCAAAGTAACACCCCGTTCTTGCTTTTGATACTCCTGAGAGCTTTACGGGGCTCCCTTGAGAGCTCTCTCTTTTCCTAGAAGCCAAGCAATGTTGGTGTTAAGTTGCCAAACACCAGCCAGTGCAGAGAATCAAACTATAAATCTCTCTGCAGAGACGTCTGGATCCTTCCTTCCTTAGCATCTCTGGTTTATTGGTGTCATAAATAGGCACTAGGTTTCCCCAACTCTTGGTCCCCAGATCCAGCCAAGGAAAGCTCCCATCATCCCTAACTATTGGCCACATGGGCCAGTGTGACAGAAACTGTCTTCTGCAAAGCACCAGAGACCCAAGCATGGGAGAGGCTGCCCAGGATTAACAGTGTGCATTCTTTGAGCTTCTTGGGGGAGGAAGATGCCTTGCTGGGAAGTGGGGTTCCACCGGCCGCCTGCAGGTTTTGACTACAAAGCCTTAAATAGCTTAGGACCACAACATTTCTCCTAGCTCTGTCCACCCAGACACGGCCATCAAGCCCTGGGGTCGGCCTCTGAGTGTCACCTCCAAGTGAGGCCAGCAGGTGGCAAAAAGGAGCAGGGCTTTTTCAGTGGTGGCCTCCCAGTTCTGGAATGACCTCCCCATTGGGCCTGCTCAGCGCCAACTTTAGCATCTTAGCGCCAACTTAGGATATCATCTATTGCGGGGCAGTTAATTAGTTTAGCTGCTTAAGCAGGTTCCCTGATGAGTTCATATAGGCTATTTTTGTATGCATTTAAATTTGGTTTTAAATGTTGTATTAAAACCCTTTTATGATGGATTTCATGTTGCTCAGCTTTTTGTATTTTTATATGTTGTTGGAAGCCATCCAGGGAGCTCCAGTTAATTGGGTGGTATAGAAATTTGATTAATAAATGCATCTTCTAATGGAGAGACTGCACTGGAGAAGTCATTTAATGGAGAAGTCATTAAAACCATATTAACTGATGTTGAATTTCTGTGCAAGGAAGGCGAATTCCTTGGAGCCTGCTGCTTGTGCTCCAAAAGGCATTCTGAATCACGGATGGGCAGCTTGCAACTTTTTCTTTCACCAAGCTAAAAGGAGAGACACATCACATCCAACAAAAGCAATTCTGCAACCTGTCTCACATCTACACATATGGTTGTATTTTGTGACTAGGGGACGTCGAGACATGTTGGACTTGCTTCTGTCTAAACTTTAAGGGGAAAAATCTACACTACACTCAATTTCACATTTTCGAAATACATCGCGAACCAAACCGGGCTATTCTTCATTTGCAATCCTCTGAATTTTTCCAGGGCATTCTCCTATTTATGCAAATGTGCAACCGTGTGCCTAGGAAGGGAAACTGCATTCAGAAATGCATTATGCTCAGAACTGTGCTTGCAAACATTGTGACTATTAAGGCTTAAAGATGCACACCTCAGGAGTACGTTAGACCGCTTACAAATGTTTGTGCAAACCTGAGAAAATATCATTGGAAGATCACGACAAGGTTGCATCAGGATCAAGACTTGGACCTTGAAACTGACTTCTCTGGAATGCGATCCTAGCATCCTGGAGCCTTCCAACCTTTTCTGCCACACCTCCTGCAATTTATCCAGCAAACTTTTTTCTGCCGTCTAGGTTTAACACCGGGGAGGCAGAGGAAAGGCGGCTGAGCATGGATGGAAATTGGTTCCAGTCTGCTCCCCTCCAGGCCCCCCACACACCTCTCCACCCCGCTGCCCCCAGGGTCCGGCTGTGATTGGGAAGGGAGTCAGCGTGGCTCTTTCCGTGAGAGACATGCAGGGCCGGGCTGGGAGCTTGTGCTTGCGCGTCAGAATATGGAGATATGAGGACCTGGGTGTTTGGACTCCAAAAACGGTGGTCTCCCAGACGGTCAGGAGACCACAGAATCGTACTCGAGCCTTCATTGCTTCAAGGAACAGTTTCCTCTGTTCTGACGGCCATGCAAGACCCACCAAAGAAGTCCCTTAGCAAGGGCTTGAATGTAACTTTGCCTCTCGCATAGCAACATGATGCGAAATGCACCAGATATTTCTTAAACCCCCTCTTGGTTCTCTGCTGGGAGGAGAGAATCTACCGCCCAGCTCTTCTTGTGTTACTTCACTGCTCTGTCCTTTCCATCCTGCTTTTGCATTAACACACATATTTTCCAAAGTGGAGGAAGAGTTCGGCCACGCAACTGCCTTTCAGTGCAATTTGCATGACCTGACAAACTACTTTATCTCCTGAGATGGATGTTGATCTGTAGTTTCCTGCTTTTGGCAGGGATGTAAATGAAAGACAGTGGATCACGGCTG